ATTTGGTCGCATCCGGATCATCTATTCTTGCGAAAAATGTTGCTCGTCGGAGAGCACCTATAATGGAAAAAATGGAACAAGCGCTAATATTATGGATAGAAGATATGAATAAGAAACGGTTGCCTTTACATAAAACTGCACTTAAACACAAAGCCTTAAAATATTTGATTATTTAAAACAAATGGGACAGTCGTCGGCTGATGAAACCAGTGTTAAATTCGTGGCTAGCAATGGCTGATTTGAAAAATTCAAAAAACGCCATTCAAACGCCAAGTTTTTCTTTTTCTATAACCGAATCCCAGTTGTTGTATTAATTTAAGTTGGTGTCTCCTATAAAGCGATTTCCCACAACGCGGAAGTTTCAAGGAACGTATCTACCGCATTGTAGGAGGCCTACCTGTAATTGATTTTGGTTTGTCCTCAGTTCAAATTAATCGTACGAAATAAATCGTTTTAAATAAATTTATTTAAAAAACAAAATTAATTATTTCATTTATTTTTGTTTTGTTAGATTATTAAATATTGCAGGATTTGACATATAATATTAATTAATTAGGTTTCTATAGAATGGTCTCGTAGAAGTTTCGAAATCGTGTCGTCTTTCAATTATTCTTTATTTCACAACTAGGTGAACACTGGTCATCTTTAACGTCACTCTTTATTCAGGAATTAATGTAAGATTCGGTGTGCAAGATATGCCTCAATAAAGAGTGGCGTTAAAGATGCCTTATGCGCCCAGTTGTGAAGCGAGTAGTAAACTCGACTCCCCTTAAAATTAAATTCTGAATGCACCACTGGGTTTTATGAGAAAGGCTGAAACCTTCTTACCTTCTAATTAATTGATGCCGAAACGGATCGAAAAATCCACGGAATTTTTCGGGAAGTGGTTCGTCGGGATATGTCGGGCCCCGTCCCTCATCACCCGGCCGCCCGATTATGGGCCTGCTAAAAACAGGTTCTCTTAGTGCCGACAGGGCGAAAAGACTTTAAAAAAATTAATTGATGCAGCATTTGTCGAAGAAAATCGAACGGTAGAGTGGCCGAGCAATCTAAGGCGCTAGTTTTAGGCACCAGTCTCTTCGGAGTCGTGGGTACAAATCTCGCCCCTACCAGCACAACATTCTTCAAACGCGATGCTTTCTTTTTACCTTTTACTTCATTTGTACTTAGAATTTTGATGTCCTTTTTCACAGCCATGTTGAACAAACGCCGATGCAAAGCGCAGAAACACTTTCTCTGTATACGTTTCTGCTTGCACCTTTACCCAAATTTTAACTGAGCGTGCTGACTGACACTTTTCAAAAAGACATTCAATATCAAAGTTCTCGTATAATAGAATATGATGTTTGTATTACCAAAAAAAAGTAAACACAAAATACATTTGTCATTAAAACGAATTGTTAAATTTTCAGACTGATAACTTTTTAATTTTTCTCATTTATATCACTTTCTTATCATGCATTAACTTAGTACTACCATCTGTAATTTGTACTTTTATAAATTCCTCAAAATTAATTCTGCCTAATAATAAAAAGTTGTTTGTGAAACCAAAACTAATTCTCTTCATGCAGATTTTTCTCATGTCCCATACAACCCTCCACAAGTAAAATTGATAAAAATGTAATGACTGTAAAAGAGCCACCAAGAACTGCCACCAAGAGCGCTTTGATCTAAGGCTATCATCCAGCGAAAATTTAAAACTTAAAATATTGAAAGCACTGTTGCCAAGTCCTGTGAAACAGTGTCAATACCAGAGAATAGTCAAATTTTAGATTACTGAACATGTCAAACTAGCAAACAAACGAATTGCCGACATTGTATCGTATACGAAAAGCTTGCGTACACATGCAAATTACTACGTGCCAACAAAATATTTATTAAATATTCAGAACTCGCCGACGAAATAATATATGTGACGAATGATTAGCGCACTTATTGTACAGTACCTATAGTCTTCTCTCGCACAGGCGTCGTATCAAAACACTGAAGACCAAAGTTTCCTTAAGATTTAATAACTTAACTTACTGTATGTCAAAGTACAGGAGTTAGCTATCTTAAACACATATGTACGAGGCAGATAAGGCATCAGCCTATCTGTCTGGAAGATTTGAGATTCACTCCGAATAGTTCGACACATCCGGGAATTTTTTCGGAGTTGGTGTGTCTAGGATATGTCATCTTTTATTCTACAGAAGTAAGTTAACCTGCATACTGTATAACAACAATTACATTTATGATTAAGACGTAAAATTGTATGATTTTCTTGCAATATGCTTTCATGATCGTATGTTAGAAGGAGGAAGTAACCGGAAAGAAGCAGTTCATTATAGTCGTTCTGTACTTCATGCTTCGTCTATAAAAATACAAAATATGTTTTATTTATTGAGCCTCATAAACGTCATTTTTAACATTTTTATAGTGTAAAATCCACCTTATTTTGAATTAATAATTTACATTTATTCTAAAAGAATGTATCTGCACGACACCAACTTTCTTAATATGCATATATTTTAAATTTTCCTTAAAAATTTATGCAGGAAATAGTTTTATTTAAAGCACCTACCTTTAAATATTGATTCGGCTACATTCGTATGAATAACGTCGACAAACATCGCATCCGAAGCATCTAATCGAACCTTACGAGAAACGTTACGAAAATAAGCACCTGCCGGATCCAAACCTGAAGATATCAAACCAATTGTTAATATTTTACAGAAAATTTGGCTGAATCACGTTCGAGTTACCAGTTATCCTTCCACATTGCTCAGTCGTTTGCCCGCATATCCACAAGCGTGTGCTCCAAAACTGTGACCGATGAGATGAAAAGTCTCTAATTTAGCCCCCTTAACGAGCTGCAGGATAAAGAACGTTCCTAAAAAAACAAATTTTCTTTATAACCGGTGTGTCAAGATATTACCTGAAGACGTTCCATGAGAAATGCAATTTCTGCTCCCACTACTCTTATATTAGCCGCTGCTTGAGCGTACGATGCAAAGGTGCTTCCTATAAACCAATCCACAATAATCACGTTATAATCTCCGACAGAAAACAACTGGAGTGTCAACCTCTAAAACAACGTCATT